ACTATAGTTCATATATCTAACACTTGCTCAATTTTATTTTTAATTCCTTTCGTCTCTATAATGTTCTAATTAACTACTAGTGTATATTTGACAGCAAAAATGCCATGACAGATTGTACAAAATATTATAGTTTTTCATACAAAGCATCTAACTTCTCATTATAGAGCTTTTGAATAATTAGAATTGTAATAATGTGTCTAATGAGTGATTATAGAATAAATTTGTTTTAATTTTTTAGTTTATTCTTAAATAAATGTGTGCTTGTTTCCTACATCTGTTGTTTTTTTTTATNAGAAAAATACTAAAAATTCATTAAATATTTTTCCACCTTATTTAAATATTAGCCTGTTCAATATTTTTCTTTATTTTAAAATAATTAAATATTTTTCTGTCTGACCCAAAACATCCTTTTTCTGTTGTTTTTTTTTATGAAATAATAATGATATCTATATTTTTATTCAAATAAATTCGATCACGATTAAGATAATCAAAATCTTCAAATATTACTTGTATTTCTATTTAACGTTAAAATTTTATTCTATAATATTTTCGTTTCGTTTATTTGTTGTTGTTTTTTATATTCATGATACCAAAGAGTTTTCACTACATTCACATGAATCAACAATAGTAGTATCATTTTTATAATAATTAATTTATATTCGTTTGTTATTCATTATTATCAAATTAAAAATCCTTTTTTATCAATATGATTGATTAAAAAACATTTATTTTGACTAGCGACAAATGACAAACAAAATGTCATTGTTGGATTTTCTTTATTGAATGTATGGGCGAATCTTGACAACTAAAAACATTGAATGTAAGAACATAGAATAGATAAGATTGAAAAGCAGAATGCAGAAAACAAAACGACGAAAGTGCAGAATGTCGAACGGGAATACCAACGAAAATATGAGTTTTGGAAGCGGACTGGTATCTCCAAAATATTTTTTACTCATAGTTCTGCCGAGAGATCTGCAAATCTTCTGTGCAAACTGTCATTTTGTTTGTATGTGAAATTTTTTCCCGTTCTGTTTGATGAGGTAGCATCAATAAGTATAAATCATAGACCATTTAGTTCGATAGATTTGTACAAAGTATTCTTTTACTATTGCCAAGTGGACGGACAGAAACAAAGCATTCTCTAAAATTTACATACGAGTTCTTAACTATTCATTCTATCTTGTTACAAAATATTTGTACCGTCGAAAACTAATTTGAACTATGAGCAAGAAATATTTTGGAGATACCAGTCCGCTTCCAAAACTCACATTTTCGTTGATATTCCCATTCGACATTGTGCACTTTTGTCGTTTTTGTTTTCTACATTTCACGTTTTCTACGTTCTGCATTCCGATCTTATCCATTCTACGTTTTCACTTTCGGTGTTTTGAGTTTTCGATCAAAGGCATACATACCTCTTTATCAACCCATCTCACATGTTTCATAGGATATATCGAAAAATATTAAAAATTAATTAAATATTTTTCTTGTTGTAAGATAGAAAAATATTTAATTAATTTTCTAATAAAAATATATTCAAACTACCGATGACGTTAATAATAAATCAGGTTTTTTTCCTTTTTGTTTAAACTGAGAAAAAATAACTAGTAATGAGCAGAAGCAAGTGGACAGGCACTCATAATAGTAATCAGTATTTTGTATAGATGAAAAACACAATATAAGCAACAACAAAAAGAGTTTTACAAAAAAAACAACTGAAAAAGGATGTTTTGGGTCAGACAGAAAAATATTTAATTATTTTAAAATAAAGAAAAATATTGAACAGGCTAATATTTAAATAAGGTGGAAAAATATTTAATGAATTTTTAGTATTTTTCTTTTTAACATTCGTCTATAGATCTATTTTATACAGAATGATTTATTTTAAAATTATTCAATTACATGAAATTGAACATTTTATGTACAACAATAGCATACGTCAATTCGAATGTAGAATTATTAATAGAATATTATTTTATTATCAATAAATATTGACCAAATAAGAACTGTATGATTTAAAAATAAGTTTTTACTATTAGAGATAAAAGTTGACTCCTTTCTGTCCATTCTCAACATAACATATTTCTATTATAGTTGAAGCCTTATGAAAATTTTTTGAGTGTTTGATTTATATTCGGAAGTTTCTTAAACAACAGAATGACTTCAAATTTTAGAAGAAATTTTGAAGAAATTAAACAATTTTATTGTGCTATTGTAACAACTGAACTTCGATTGGACGACAGACAATGACTTTGTTTCTAAAACAGTGATTCTTCTTGAAATTTTCAATTAATGTACTCATCGTACTTGTAGACATTTATATTTATAAAAAATGAGGTCGATTATTGATTAATATAACATTTTAACAAGTGTTATGAAACTGTGTGCATTTTTTTTTTCATCATCAATTTTCTTTTTATACGTAAACAAATCTATCAGAATTCTAGTTAACATTATGTGTGCGTATAACTGATAACAAAAAAGAAGAGACAACAATTCGTGTCATACACATACAGAATATAAAAAACAAAAAACAATAAATTTCGTACAAAAAAGAAAAACAAAAAAAACATACAAAACAAATATACAAAACCAACAAAATCTTGTGTGTATAAAAAAAAACTTGTGGGTTTTTTTGTATCAAAACATAGAAAGAGAGATTGCATGAATACAGCGCAAGGAAGAACAATGTTAAGAATAAAAATCAATAACATGTTGAAACATATGGAACCAGCTTTAAATAATAAAAAATATTTTTTACACTGAAAAAATTGAAAAAAAAAACAAATATTGCCGTTTATTTTTGAATTCTTCTCAACGTCAGTGATAATCGATCCGGATTACATTGAATTTTATATGTACAATCAATTGCCGGAATGTCTTGTTGTGAAGGTATAATAACAGAATTATTGTTAGCATTCTTCATTGATAATGACGTTGATTTATCCTGTTGTTCGGTTGTATCAGTTGTTTTATTATCAAACATTTCAAATAAATTTGAATCAGAACTATTGGATTGTATTTGATGATTGTTATCATTATCATCATCATCAACATCTTCCTCCATTTGTACAACAATTCTATCTAACTCATCATCATCATCATTATCATCTTCATGTGAAACAGTTCTCGTTCTCGGTCGTTTTCCACATTTAAAATTTGTAAATATCTCATCAGGTATTTCACTCGTATTCGAATCAGTGCATAGATCAAGAGATTGAGAATTACCTGTTGTTAATGTTGTTTTACTATCGTTTGATCTGTCACCGCGATCGTGATCAAGAGTATCTTCAGAACAAGGCAAAAATGGAGGAATAGACACAGTTTGCTTTGTAATATCCGAAATTGAGCTTTGTACTCGTGTCTTTTTTGGTGGCCTACCACGTCGTCGTTTTTTGCGAGAAGAAATTTTTCTCTGTGATGTTTCATTTGTTTCATTTATCGATATATTACCACCATTTACATTCAATGTTCTCAAAGATTTTTCTATTTGTTTACTACATATTTCAACCGGTTCACCCCAATTAGAGCGTTGAAACTTTTTAGGAGGTGATGAACATGATAATTGTCGAAGACGTCGACGATCGGCAGCCGATTGTAGAAGAGGGGAATGTGGTGGATGATAGTCATTCGATAATGAATTATCTTGATCTTTAGTAATTGGTAGTAGTTCATCGTCTTCTTTTTCCTTAAACGATAACTCTGTTGAAACATAAGATTGTGCTCTCGATCGACATGAGTCACCATCAGTGTCATTCGTATCTTTGCTATTTGTATTATTCATAGATTGTTCATCTAAATGTGAGATTGTGACAATTGCTGGTGGTGATTTTTCATCTGTTGATTGAGCTGTACTTCTCCCACCAAATCCTGACGATTCATAACCGGACGAACACGATGGGATTGTATCACTTATATGATTTTTTGAAATAGTTTCAATACTAAATTGCGCTGGATATTCATCATCGGGAGTAATTGAAATTGATTTAATTGGCGATGATGAGAGTGCATCGAATAAATTTGGTGTACCGGTCGAATCAGAGATCGGTGTTGTTAGATATAAATTTGGTTCATTCTGACTTGTTGCTACGGCAGGAATATCGAGAGACGATCGTTCGATCATTTCATCATATAATTGAGAATCAAGTTCTTCATTAGTGGAGATCATCGATGGCAATGATACTTGTTCCAACATTTCTACATGTGGTTGTGGACTAGTCGATTGATCTGAGATAATTGATGATTTGATACTGTTCAAATTTGAGACGGTCACCTGCTGTTGTTGTTGAGACTTTTCATCTAATACATTCGATGGCAGTCTTGTTACTGGTACTGTTGCTTTTCGTTTTCGTGCTCCTAGTAAAAGAAAGAAATGATCTTTACTCTTCTGCACACTTTTTTTGCAAAACAAAATGCATTCGCTATACTATAATACATGTTTAGTTAGAATAACTTCTTACCTGCTGGTTGCACTTTTTGTGTTTGTGATACTGTATTCTCTTGAGTTAGACTAGGCGATAACAATGTCGCATCTACGTGTCGTTGATTCTCATGAACTGGCATTTCTGGCGAATGAAGAGGAAATGATGGATAGTTAGCAGTTGATAACGATAGTAGAATTTGTTTATAGGTGAGTAATTGCTCGATACAACGTTCTAAATCACGATGATAGATAAAATATTCATCAGCACTACAACGTCCAACATGATGAGAAACTAAACTCTTTTCATCATCATCTAATCGAACTAATTTAATCTGAAATTCATTATCACATAGTTGTAAAAATGTTTCAATTGGTATAGTCGATGCAAACTGATTTAAAATATGCGTTGTCGGAATTTTCCATTCGCCAATGGGAGTTTCCGGATTTTTCACAATGCCGTAGAATGGTCGACGACGAATTTGAAATGATCGAATTTCTGGACGTAAATATAACGGAGGCTGTGGGGGACGTAATGCTGGCACACTAGATGATTTTGAGCGTTGTTCCTGATAATACGAATGCTGTTGTTGTAGAATATCTTTCGTTAAAGCTAATTGATGTGCTCGAAAAATGTTTGAACTTGGGTTCTTCTTTTCAGATTGTGACGTGGTATAAGATGGTAAAGAGTTTAAATTTGGTAATGCCCATGGTGGCATTAGTGGTGGAGAAGCTGTTGCATAATGATTAAAATGATGTACAATCGACGATTTGTCTGTTGATTTTTCTAACGATGGATTGACAATGACGCCGTCGTTGCTAGATGTTTTGTGTGAATAATTATGATAATTAGTATCATGTTTTATTGAATTATTGTGTTTGTGATTAGAAGGGTTACTCATTTTAGTTAGTTTTGTATTAGAATGAATATCTGTCTGATGTTGTTTCGTATACGGTTGTAGTAACGCATTTAAAGCAGGATTAAGAACGACAGTATTTTGCACGGAATTTAGTGGCGGATTAATAGTGGCACAATTACTCGACAATGAGGAAGAGCTTGGTGGTCCTAAAGATGTTGTCATTTTAGCACCAGATTTGTTCATATCAATGGCAGATATTGATTTGGAAGAAGCTACTGGCGGCGGTGGCGGTGGTGGACCAGATAAGCCGTAGAAAGCGGCAGTATGAATTAACGGATTGACAACAACGTTTGCCGGACTATATTTTGATTGTTTACAAGATGCTGGCACTACAATAATAAAACTTTCGTTAACTATTCTGGCATTTATGATTGAAGTCAAGATAAAACTTACAAAAAACTACACTTACCGTTCATCGGATGTGGATTAATAACACTGTTCATAGTGCTTGTATTCAGATTTGGATTTTTGTGAACTTTTTTTGATGATAATTTCATTAGTGTATTATTCAAGTTCATTCGTTCACGTTGTTGATGTTCAATTAATGTAAAATGTTTTATTAATTGTATGTTTGGCGCTTTGATATCATACGCATCGACAAGCAATGTGTCGGCTGTCAATACAGTATTATCAATTGAAAAATATAAAAATAGTAAATTAAGATAATCAATTTCAAATTGTCTTGGTGCACGGGCAAATTTTTTCGCTAGATTAACACCGTTCGCGATTGTTGAATACGTATATAGTAGTGGTACGTAATAACGATTGTTCTGTATTAAATAAGGTACTAATTTATCATTTATACGTAGTGTTCCACCTCGATGTTTAAGTACATCTTGATGAGATTTATTTACTTGTGTTCGTGGCTGTTTTGATGTTAATATTTTAACATACAATATACGATTTAAACCGATCATTATATGATAAAGATTTACCAATAATGTTTTTTCCGCTACTTTTTCATCAAATATGTGTATATTCGATATTAATTGGTTAAATATTTCGAAATCCGATGGAGTAGCTCTGATCAAAAATTTTTTAAATAAAAATTCATCATCCGATAATATATGACATTTAATTAAAATTTCATACGGCACATAAATCTCACGCTGCAGTTGCTGTTGTTTTGTTGATCGATCTTCGAAGAAAAGAAAAACACAAACGTATAAATTAAAGAAAATTTTTTAAGAAAGATTACTAATCCGATGTAAAGATTATTGTTTTACCTATTTCACTGTCACGTAATTTTAATTTTACAATGTAAGGAACAAAAACATTATTTATCTGTACCCAGCCCGATTCTTTCGCATCTGATGAGCGAGTGTTTGTCAATGGAGCCTTTTCGGATGATTCATATTGATGAAGAATGGTGCCACTTGATGGCTTATTCTCAAATTTACTCAAATTTACGCTGTTTTTCAATGAAGATTGTTGTTTCATTAAATGTTGTTGTTGTTGTTGTTGTTGTTGTTGTTGTTGCTGTTGATATTGTATTGGTTGCTGAGAATGACGTTGGAGTTGTGGTGGTGGTAGTGGTTGTTTACAAGAACTATGAGTTTTATGAGCTGATAAATCTTGAATATTTTTACTATTTGTTTGTGGTTTTGGAGCAATAAGTGATGATTGTCGAGGACTAGCACGCGGAGATGGAAAATGAAATGGATAAGAATTTGGTGGCATTAGGAGACTAGATGGTAGATAACCCGATTGAAACGGTAAAAGTTCTGAATTTAGAAGATTCGGTGGAGATACTGGGTAAGTTTTCATTTGTTTTTGTTGGCGATGTAACAATTCGGCAACTGCTGACTGTGGAGATGTAGATGTTGTTGATGGCTTTTGTAAAAGCATAGATGATGAATCAACAAATTTTGAATTTGGTGAAATGAATGCTAAATGTGTATCAAGAGTTAAATTTGATTGCATTTGTTGATGTAACGTATGATTAATAGTGGATATTTCAAATGGAATCGTACGAGTTTGTTTATGATGGTTGTACGCTGCTGTAGAAGGCATGGAATCACGTAATTTTCGAATATTGGAAGAATAATCAATTAGATCCTCAAAACGTATTAGACAATCGGTTGATGGTATCGATTTAAAATTACATTGAGCTAAATGCCATTCGACAATAAGACGAAATAATTTCAATTCATTCTCCGTGTAGGCAAACGACAAAAGAGGTGGTAGAAGAGGTGATTTGGCTAATATCGAATGCCTTTGCCATGATTCATTTTGAAATAATGTATTTTCAACATAAATTTTTGACGTATACCGCTCTTGCCGACCATTTTCATTTCTAAAGTAGAAAATCAAATAATGAAGATTAAAGAGGATGTTGAGATCAAGAAAATTATAGTGGCAAAACATCAGCGGCGTTGACACTGATATTTAGATGAATTCATTTTTTGCTCTTAGTGATGATGTTGAAGACACATATATGAAGCTTTCTTTTATAAGAGTTTTATTATTCAAATAGAAATTGTAGAAAATCGACCTTTCTCTGTGTTTTGTATGGAAAACTCTTGATACGAGTTCGACAACACAATTTCTCTACTGAAACACTTTTAGATTAAAACTTAAGCCACAGTTTACAGTGGCGTAGCCAAGAGAGGAACCTAGGGGGCACAGGTCTCCTCCTTTAGAAAGTTAACTTGTACTGGAGAATAGAATAAAATATCAGCTATCAGCGATATGTGTTTGTTTAGTCTTCCTTTTACTCTAATTCTTCCTAAAAAAATGCTGTACCCCTCCTTTAAAAAAATCCTGTCTACACCACTGACAGTTTTTCTAGATTAAGAAAATCACTATTTTTTAGACTTATAATTGTTCCAACTTGTTTGAAAAGAATTTATCAGAAATCCGCCTAACAATATTTTAGTCAAGGATACGAAACTACCGTATACATTTAGATTTTTCAACGTTATTAATTATTATTATTATTATGACTCGAGACATCCTTGAGTTCATGGTCACATTTCTCGATAAAACGTGAGTGTATCAACTATTAGTCAAAAAAAAAAACCATAATAGATCTTTCTCTATATTTTTAAATGAGTTCAAAAATACACTTAATAATAAATTACTTGAAAGACTTTATATTTGGAGAAATTATTTGAAAGAATCGCATGCGAGGAGGTTTTTATTATATAAATTGGATAATTATATAATTCGAAAGCAATACTATCTTATACGTTTAGAAATGCAAATACTTAAAGCACTCAGATAAGTGCAAAATAAAAGGGTTAAACAAGGACTAAAAAGAAAAATATATTAAGAATGCAAACTTAAAAGCAAGAAAAAAAAATAGAAAACCTCAATTAATGGGGCTAACTTTCATCGCGAATAGTATATTTTATTCTTCGAAATAGAAAGGGATAAGAAGAAAATCTGCCTATTCTCCTCTCTTCCATTTTACTCTTATGAATGGATATAAATTCGTTATTGAGGGCTAATGGAGCATCAAGGTCGTTTTGTGTTTTCAATGTCAACATACTCTAACAGCTATGTTAATTCATTCAGATGGATACAAATTTGAAATGAAACTTCACCTATTTATAATAAAAAAAATTTCTTTTTTCTCTGTTTGGAAATTAAAAGCCGTTTCAGTCGACACAGTTGAACAATGTTACCTATACGGTAACATCCGATTAGAAAGGGTTAAACATTTTTGAACTGTGCAACGAAGATTGAATATTTTTAACTCTATATTAATACTACGGTACGAGCAAAATTAAATTCAGAAGTCCAAGTCTATATAATACTCATAAAAAAATAACGTGCATTATTTTTAATTAGTCAACTAATAATATAAAAATCATTTAAAAGATGTCATCATCAGAAATTATGATTTATATGAAAAGGTGTGAACGATCGATCTATCAAAGATAATCATCAGAAAATTATTTTCCCGTATATCTTTATTAGACACTAGCTATAAATATGTCGATCAAGGAAACTTCAAATCCAGAGGCAGTAAGACTAAAAATAATAATAAAATATAGATTATTATTAATTAACAAGGACCTTGTTATCGTATAAATTAGATAAATGATTCCCGGTTCATGTTTCATGGTCAAATAAATAGTTATATGCTATTTTTATTTGAAAGAGAAACATTTGAATTTTTTTCCTCTACTGCCGAAGGAGAGACATGTCTCATTATTATCGATGAATAGAATAGTCAAGTAAAATAAATTATAAAACAAACTATCTAAGACCTCCACTACATACCTAAATAAAACGGGAATATATCGTCCATCTAAATCTTCCCAACCAAATTGATTTAAACAACTTGGATTATCCATTGTTTCATTTGATAAATTATTTTTTAAACTAGAAAATAGGGAATTATCTTGTTCAATATCATTGTTGTTGTTGTTCGTACAAGTCGTAATATTTGATAATAATTTTGTCATTTCTAACGAAGTCGTTTGTGAATCGGTTGAATTATTTGTTCTTGTTGTTATTACTTCTGATAAATAAGACGGTCGATTATTACTATTAGTATTATTATCAATTGATCGTCTATCTTCGAATTTGACGGGTGACACCACGGTGGTGGCTGATGATGCTGATACTAACATGTTGTTGTTAGTATCATTGATTGATTGAACTAATGGATTTAGTATTGTTGATTCACCTGTAAAAGATAAATGATAATGTAATTATCTATTGTTAGATACGATATCATCATAGAGAAATAGATCATCTCCTTGAGAGTGTATGGATCTATTATTTGTTGTTTCAACTTAGATCATAGTTAAACGATTAGTGCACGTTCGAACACGCAAGATCATGCTGTCTGCAATATTAAATAAATAATAAAAAAAAGTCTTACTAGATTTTAGTGTCAATGGTAATTTTTAATTTTTATAATGAGACTTTCTGCTGTATACACACACATCCACACGCATATTAAATTTTTTCTAGTCATAAACATCATAGACATTCTCTAAATTATTTTAATTGAAAACCAAAGAACTGGATTGATCACACACACGTTTTGGTGCTTTGTTATTTTCTTATATTTATTGCGCTATACAGTCATTTATGGACGCCGGCGCACATACACATACATACACATAGAGACATACACAATTCATCATCATCCATCCATTTTTCCCCTTTTTTTGATTCTCTTTTCCATTTTAGAATGGTTACTAAGCAACCAAAATTTCTCTTTTCCGACAACTGTTCTCTCTGCGGGCGATTGTCTCACCTTACACACACATACACACACATAATCTATAAATTTCTTTCTTTCTTTTCTTTTCCTATTCTGTGTATCGATATATCGAGGCTGTCGCTTTAGTATATGCTCTTCACCAACAAGATCGGGTCTCAATCGAACAAAAAACCCTTCTTACATCATAAACACAGTATTTTAATATCAATAAATAGAGAATAGAGAAGCCGATCCTCCATTAATCGTGCAACAACAACAACAGCACCATCGATCAACGCCAAATTTTTTTGCTCTCTCCAACCTTTTCCCGTTCTTTATTCTTTTCCACATTTTCTTTTTTCTTTCTCATTTGATAGTTGTACAGATATTCGTATACGTATGATGTGATGTGTTCTCGAGCACGTAGTACGGACATTTTTTGATGTAAATGGGGCAAAATGTGATCAAATGTACTCAACACAGGGGTAACATATGAAAAAATGAAGAAAGACAACAAAACAAACGATCTTAATGTTTGCGTTCTAACTTAACACAAAAAAACACTACTTTAATCACAATATAAAAATGCGTAGGGGTATGAAGTCAACATACACATGCATATAATAAATAGTCAAAGGATATATATTTGACAACTTTTAGAAAAGGCTGAGAGAAAAGGAAATTTATTTATGAAACGATAAATATAAGAAATCCAATTTCAGATAAGCCAGATTAGATGAAAATGCCTGCGTAAATCCTAATTAGTTAGTTTATGTGACTAATGAATACTTACTAGTTTAGCATTGACAACGATATGGGCGCGTGAATACATTGTTATTCTTTTCACAGAGAATAGAGAGTAAAATTACGCCTCAGTGACGTGTAAAAGTGTCAGTGGGAAGAAAACTAAACTTCTTACATTTTAGTAAGCTGAACGCTGAAGTAGTGGATGAAACACATAACTATAGTCATCTTATCTGTATGTTATAAAAAAATTTTGTTTTATAAAGAAAAAACATCAGCTAGACAGTGATTCTGTCTGATACTGATTAATAATTGCTTTAGTAGGAAAAGGAATACCAAACATACATGCTTTATTACTGCACTAGTAAATTATCAAGAATAAAATCACAAGTCTATCAACGTTGAATGTTGAGAGATAAATTCTGACGATGATACTCACTTGTCAATGATTTTGTTGCTGATGGATAATTTTTATTTCGTGTATGATAAAGAGAACTTTTTATTTGATTAAATTTTGGTAATCTATCAACTAAATCTGGTGTATATTTTTGAGCTTTAATAATTTCAGTTCGAAATATTTTTCGTACTGCTGTACGTTCATCACAAATACGTTTTTTTATTTTTAAACGAAATTCTTCATAATGATTTCGATTTTCATTGTATCTATGATTATGTTTTATGGTTTCAATTGGATTTTCTCGTCCTATTTGATGAGCTCGACCGTTACATGTTGCACGAAGTTCACATCGCCAATACGTTGTTCTATTTTGACGTTTATCTTGTACATATCGATAGCCATTAAATAATAGACATGGTTTTTTACGTTTTGTTTCAACGACTGAAAACATATATAAATAAACAGATAATTAAATAAATATTGATTGCTTTTAGCGGTGCAATCACAATGTTTGTGGCAGTAAATCACTGATTATAGCCATGCGAATAAAAAAAAATAAAAGGTGCTAAAAATTTTTTCTTTCTTAATACAATTCGGCCTAATAGAGAATATATGAATATCGCATTTAATTATATTCGACGAAACAAGAAACCCTATTTACGCTTTTTTTCTTTTTAGTAGACTACATGTTTCTTTTTGTTCGATCCTTATTTGATGAGGCGTCAAAAGAAAAGCACACATACATACATACACACATACAGAACTTACATGATCGCTTTATCGGAATAAAAAACGAGTGATTTGCTTTTGTTACTAATTTTATTTGACGCCAGCATAAAGAAAAAGGCACATTATAGCAACAAAAACGGCAGTTTTATACTCAGAATTGACAGTCTTTTGATGAAAACTCAAGTAGATTCTATTGTTATAATAGAGAAAAAAAAGGTCAAAACTATTCTTTTAAGCACAAATCGCCTGATTTTTCAGATTACCCCTGCGCAAATCATAGAAGAGAATATTAAAATGGTAACCAAAACATCTCAGAGGTGAAATATTTTTAGGTAGATGTTTGAAACGTTGATTCAGTCAAATCTCAATTAATTATTCATTTTTTTCTGAAGGGAAAATTAAAATCTAGTATTCTGATAGCTCCATGTAACATCTGTGCACTCTACTTCATAAATATTATTTTATATGGAATGTGCTAGCAGAACAGAAAGGTTAAATTTATTTTTAAATTAAATGTGAAAGATAGCACAACCAACAACACTCACGCCATATCTAAGATAACGCATTGTAAGTCATAAAAAACGTCTTGAATTGTTCGTTATATCATCATCATGAAATATTTGACATTCCTCCCTTTATCTTTTACATCCATGAAATGGGCTTAAATCGCGCATCGATTGATTATTTTAAAAAAACCTTTTTTTCTTATATATAAAACAGGTCAAAAAGTTTATCTATACTCAACTAAAAGAAGGGTTTCTGCAAAAGGGTGTTTTTGTTCTACAATAATTAAAGGACGAATATGTTGCCTCAAACTCCTTTACGTTTACTGATATATTTGTCTTTTTCTGTCAGTATGTCTTAATCATTGTTTTGCCCTTCATTTGTGGAGGTTAAAGACAAGAAAACAAAATGCCTTTTTTTTCAAAATCTGTCTTTTTTCCCGTCAAAAAACTAATATATATTCTAACAGATTTTATAACAGGTGACAATCATTATTGAATTTATGAATTTTTGATATTCACATGTTTTATTGGTCCGTTCGAACTACTATGCTCGTGTTCGTCGACTTCGCTTTCTTTTCCTTTTTCATACATATATCGGGTGTTTCCTCGTCTTTTTTTCGTTCTTTCATTTTTAACTAACCAGAACATGAGAAACCCTTGATTAAATATACTATACTATATATATATGTGCAAACGGACTATTAATTGAGAATTTAGACCTCGTAGTTGTTAAAATACTATGCACTGAGTATACGTTCAGACAAACAAAAGAAAGGAGAAATGTCGAAGATGCTCGGTCAACATTTTTCTTTTTGCGTTCTTCGTCTGTTTTTCATCTTTTACCCCTTTATTTTTTATGCACTCCAAAAACCAACATCAATTTCTTATCTTCGCCCTGAACTATATATTATTTCTTTTGCTATGTATATTTTATTGTACTCATGATGACTATCCCCATATAATGATCGTTTTTCTTTCTTTTTCGTTCTCTTTCTATTTGTCTTGAATTAGTTTTGGGGCTGATGGAGAGCTATAGATTGTTAGGAGTGAAAATTAATCTGATTCATGTCCTGATTTTCTTTTTATATAGTGGCTTATCAGTCAAAAAGAATGCTCAAAAACGAGGATACTATTTATATTCTTGCTCGGGGATGCACTTATTTTGTTTGTGTTATTGACATGTGGAATTTCCTCTCCTTTTTGAAGAAAATATCATAGAGTCATTTTAAATAGAAATCATGAACAACGTGCAGTGGCTGGCTATTGCAGAAAAAAAAGTTGTGTAAAATTCTGTTGTTCATATATCTGCATATTTATGGTAGCTACTACATACCATAGAAAATTCTGTGTATTGAATATCAGAAGATCTCTAAAACATTTTTATTCCGAGAAAAAGTAAGAGGAGCACATTCTAGTCAAGTATTGTTAATAATACAGATCAGAATAGCCCGACATAATACACATTGCTGCAGAAAAATGAGGAATAAAGCAAAAGTCAAAACTTTTTAGCCAGTTTTGCTGGATTTTACCGCTTCAAATATACTTGTTGACTGCAATGAGTAACTGTAACATGTTATGTAATTAACAAGAATGAAGACTTCCTTTTCCGTAGGGAATTTTGCATCAACGAATGATTTTCAAGACCGATCCTGAATGAGTTTAATGAAAAAAGCTGAACAACTGATGATTTGATGCAATATCCTCAAGATATCTCAGATAACATTTATAAAAAAAAAATTATCGATTCAAAACGTCTGTCGTTTTAATTCGCAAATATTTTTTCCACTCTAGAGGCTGGAATGAGAATAACTGAGCATTTCTGTGGTAAACTTTCATGACAATAACTCATTGTCATGCGTTCAAACGTGTTTTATATTTCGTTTAATTTTTATTTTCATCAGGTACACTTTTCAACGTGTTATTGCAAATTTCACTATTCAGTTTATTCAATAATTAACGCATTAAACGAAATGAGGGTGATGATCATAGATTGGACTGTTATTACCTACACTAAGTTGTTTTTCGTCTCTGATCGGTAGCCAGAAGATCCAACTCAGTGTACATGAAAAATTCCTCCACTACTTCACTATGTTTAACTACTAACCACTCCATACTATTCGTATTTATTGACGAATATTTCAATTTCGGCTTTCATTAAAATTTTTCTTTCTTTACGAATCTGTTTTTGTTTAAAATAGTGACGTAAAAAAGCTCTATATATCTATTTATTTATAATCAGCATAAGATAAATCAAATAGGTAAAAATAGACTACTATTCGAAATAACTAACCGCATCCGATAAATAACCGACCTGTTAATAGCAACTTATACTTTTATCTAATAGTTCCGCCTATCAAAAAAGTTTATTGATTTATTTTGAGTCCAGATCTTTTCTTTATTAATAATTTTTTCTTTGTTTCCTTACCACGCGCTCGCTACTCTGCGTAGTCTAAGAGCTACTTTTCTTGCTGTCTAAAGGTGGGTTCTGTCTCACGAAAACGTTCTCAAAAAACAGCGCCTTTATTTGACAATGAAAAGTGTTTTGCAGTACAAAAATCTTTGGTCATGAAACAAAACACAAATTAAGCATGACCATCAGTTTAATCTATAGTAATTGAAGGATGAATCTTCTCTTTCTGAAGACATCGCCCTACTGGCAAAATATGAAGAATTGATTGCTTTACAACATCTGATAGCCTTTCCAAGACCAAAAATTGTAAAGAATATGGAGGCAAAATGTTTACATGGATTTTTAATCTGTTAAAAACTCTACAAAACTAAACCGTCCCTTAAGGAACTGTATCATTACCTACGCCGTAACTCGTATAACCCAATAAATTAGATGAAAAAAGGGAAGAATGAGCCTTAACAAAAACGATATACTTGGGCACAGCTTAACTCTTTTCGTTTTTATTGTGCTAGCTATCGCATTACGACTTTATACATGGATTTAGTCTTTATCATTTTCTTTGTCGAAAAGCTGTCAACTTTCTAAATGAAAAAATTCGTAGTTTTCTCCTAGTAGGATGGTACGTATCTTCAGACTTAATTTCAGTGTCTGAAGAACAGAAAACAAAAGTGTGGCATCCTTTATCCACCGCTCGTTCGCCATTGTCTGCCTCTGTGGGTCATGACTAGTCGTCTGCTCTAAAAACGTCTATAAAAGAGGAAGATCCGTTAGTTCTATGCGAGTAGAATGTCGGTCGATCTATCTGTAGTGTATTGTATAGTACAGGGTTTGTATTTCTTTTTTCATTTCATTCAGTCGTCCTCTCTCATTATATTTATATATGTGAGTTATGTAAAAAAGAGAATATAAATAAGGATTAGAGAACAATTCACTTCTATTTCTGAAAACGTAAACTGAGATACGAATCAATTTCAAATCACCAAGACAAAAAGGTAGATTGGAAGTTTTTTTTCACAGCTGTTTGTTAACACTCTTTTATTTAACTCGATCGATAGCCGTGTATTAAGACGACGATATTATCAGAAATATGATAATGTAACTCGTTGTATGTTCTATGTTGTCACGATGGGATAAAACAACGAGAACAAAGATAATTAAATATTTAAAGGGTTAAACATCGGTAATCGAGATAAAACTGTTTTTCCTGAGGTCTAAGTACGAGACGTATGGGCCTAGGTATTAGCTGAAGAATAGACGAAGTATATTAAATTTGGATTATATTGTCGAGCTAAACTACTTCAGTCACTATTCGCTTCGTAAGAGTAGTGTACTCAACGATTTTGACACAGCATATTTGGATCTATCTAATAAATATAAAAATTTCTTTTAGTAAACGTACTCTTTCATTATGGCCATATCGTTTGGATTTCCATTTGATTCAGATTCAACTGTCGAAGCTCGTTATCTTTGTTCAAGTTGTCAGAACCTTTTAAATGAACCAAAACAACTGTGTTGTGGTCATCTGTATTGCACATGTTGTATAGATGAAATAATAAAGTAAATAGTATTACCGTCAAAGGTTATTTGTCTCATTTTCTGTCATTATTTACTCAGAGACAAATCCAGAAACGAAATTTGTATGGTCAATGGATGCGGTCAGTTGCTGAAATTAGATGATGTATGTTCTAAAATTATAGTTGAATCGGTAGCATCCTTTTTTTAAATTTTTTCTTTTCCAGATATTTCGTGATCGTGCAATTGAACATGAAATGAAAAATATCGATGTTGTTTGTTACAACAAAATGAACGGTTGTACTTGGAGTGGAATATTTGCACAGTATCAAGTATGTTTTTACTATTTCTTTTTCACTGCTTATCGTATTTGCTAAAGAAAGTCGGAAAATGTTTAGTTGACATGAAACTTCACTCTAATTCAGTTATTATTATTTCAGGAACATTTGAATACTTGTAAATATGTTGTGCTAATATGTGATTCGTGTGATAGTACTTTCACAGATACATCAGTGTTTGAGCAACATCAACAGACGTGTTTAAAAGCTATTATTCTATGTCCTCTATGGAAATTTGGTTGTGACACAAAGGTAAGGTGGTCTCTGAAAACGAACGCTCTTCTCAGATATAAAGCAATTAACATCATAAGAAAAAGCAACTTTTAGTTAAACGCTAACTTTCTCTTCTTCAAATCTTTCAGACCCTTCGCTGAATCAAGATCCTTTTTATGGAATCAGAGCAGGATTCTCTCTACTTATTTCTCTAGGTCTCTCGTGAAGCATTATACGAACATACACAAAAAGCAAGTGCTGATCATGTACAAATAATTGCTGATCAATTGACATCACTGATAAATACACAAAACCGCTTACAACAACAAAAACAACGTCCTGAAGTATATCTTCAACAGTACAGCATACAAAAACAACAACAACAACAAAATTTGTCATCGTCAGCGTTGACAATGACACAGAATTCCACTATACTATCATTACAAAATGATTTATTAAAACAGTCGCAACTAATTGAACAATTACGAAATGAAAACAAATCTTTATCATCGACATTAGGAAAACGAGATGATCTGTTAAGTCAGACTCGAGTCGATTTACAATTACGTCGAAGTGATTTATTAGAATTGCGCAAAGAATTTGAATTGTCAAAAACATTTCTTCATGTGAATGGTACATATCTATGGAAAATTGATGGCGTCTCACAAAAATTTAACGATGCTAAAAATGGAGATCAATTTTTTATTAATTCACCAATATTCTATAGTTCAAAATATGGTTATAAGTTATCCGCGAAACTTTATTTAAATGGTGATCAAACTGTCCGTAATACATATTTATCCTTGTACATCACAATAAATCGAAGCGAATATGATGATGTACTCGAATGGCCATTTAATTATCCTATTACATTTTGTTTATATGATCAAAGTCTCAAACGTGAACATATATTGAACACATTAACGCCCGATTTACAAAGTGATGCATTTAAAAGACCAGTTTTTGAATCGAATAAGTCAGGTGGAATACCAAAATTTTGTCCACTATGTAAAGTGTTTAGTTTAGACTATGGTTATGCAAAAAATAACACAATGTATATTAAAATCTTAATCGATTTTAAATTATATCCACAAAATATTTGGCCAGAATGGTCGAAATTACAATGGAATGGTCTATCAGAATATGCTGAACAACAAAGGTTAAAAGAAGATTTTTTGCCAACACGTCAACAATAACTCGTTTTATCTGTTTTTTTAATATATAATGTATGCTTATGTATGTGTGTTTTTACTAGTCAATTCCAGTTTTTGATACTGTCCTTCGATTTTGTATTAAAAATTTTGTTAATATACATTAAACAGAAAGTGGAAATTATGAACATCCACACATGTCGATTGTTGGTTATGTAGTAGAATTGATGATACGGTTATTTTTTGTGTGCCGTTAGTCGTCCTAGTAAAGTCAGAAAACCAATTATACTACAAAGACAAGATCTGAACAATCTCTTTTTAGTACAAAGAACGATTGAATCTTTTATGTAAGTATATCTTCATTCGGTATTGTTCGATTTATCAAAATTTCCAGAAAGCTTTCATTGCTCATGAAAGCAAATAAAAAGTTGCTTACTCTCCAAAAAATACTCTCCGTTACGGAATTCTATCTTTTTTTCGACTGTCTGAAATCAAAAGGTTAACCTCAATGGCGAAGGTCGTTGGAAAAAGATATTTTCTATAGAACTAGGTAGTTCTCGAAGCGCTCTTTTCGATGCACTGTAAATTCAAGTTAAGAAACTGATTTAGCTTGGAGAAAACTCGTTTTTCCAGAAAATCATTTTATTTATGAAATCTTTTTTAAACGTCAGAAATCAAAACAAAATGGGGCATTTTGTAGATAATTGAATTTTTTATCGACTATCATTATTGTGAAACTGTTTCAAGAAAATATCTACGTTAGAAAATTAAAAGTAAAAAATTGTTAAAATCGAATTTTGAGCTTTAAAATTCTTTGTTTCAGATTTTTAAAGTTGATATTCGTGATCAGCATAAAAGGTGTATCTAATGATGTACGTTTCAATCTGATTGGATAAAAATTTTTTTGATACCTCCTGATTTGAAGGAGACCGTTAGTTGGTCACGCCTATCGACGATAACGTTATTTGTCAGATAAGGCGTTTTTTCGGAAAATTCACGCAATTTTTTTCAAATTCATAAAGAGAACAATATTTAAAAAAAACCTGGGCGTATCAAAATCTTCTTGTGAATAAAGTAAAAAAAGTGACAGCAAATGTGTATGAATAGTTGGATGAAAGAATTACTAATATGGGTAATGCATGTGTTCGTTTACATAGGTTTTCTCAACATTAGTAACTAGATCTAACAGATACTTTTATTTTAACAGAAAAATATCAATATAAAAAAACTTCTAGAATTTTGTTTTTGAATTTATCGTCAATTGTACTACATTTCGAATATGTTTGAAAACAAATTGTTCATCATTTGTAATTGAAGTTTCAAATGCTTGTTTTGGTTGTTCTGCGGTCGCATTTATTTGTTGATTAGTCAATAATAACACTTCATATAGATTATACAACGTCGGCGATGAATAAATCATATCTTTCAGTTGTAAATCTTGTTGTGTTGAAAATATAATTAATAATTTGATAAATTTGATGACTAGTCGATAAATATGTTCATAAGTATATGTATTTGTGCTTTCAATATGTTTATTGATTAAAAATCGACATAAACAATTTGAATAACTGACTAATAAATGAAGCCAACATATGTTATCACAATACCTTTCTGTTTCAAAAATCCAATGTAATTGAAATTTTCGATTGTTATAAATCAACACATGTAAACTATAAATAAGTGTAAAATAATCGTAATAAAAACGAATTTGTTCGTGTGTTAATTCATCTAAATAAATAATTGAATCAATATAATAGGCTAATATTTCACATAGACAACGTGTGGGTGGTAATGAACAGAGCCAGGTCGGCTCATCTGGACAAATTTCGATAAGTGATGACAAAATTGCTTTACAAAGTTTAAATTCAAATAATTGTTGTAAATCATTATCGTTTAACAATTGAATCAAAAATGAGCAAAAACCTTTACGTCTTTGTTGCTGTTCCGTATCATCACTAACATTTGAAATGGACGATGATGGTTTGGTTTTGAAATGAAAGGTGTACAATAATAAAAATTGATGAAATAAATCAAAGGATAGTTTAAAACTGACTAGATGAGATAAATAGGACTTTAAACGATTTAAACAACGTTGTTTTGTATCATAATAGGCGGATAAATCGGTTGCTCGAACAGTTGCTGTCATCGAACGTTGAGAAGATTGTTGTTCATCAACAGTTTCAATTTCCTAAAATTAAGAAAAAGAGATGCCATTAGTGAATATCTTTCTCTTCTGATCTACCGCAGCCAAGGAGGAAAAGGCGGCTCCAAGAGCTTTCCGACCGTTGAAATGCTTTCCGGAGCTTGAGATGCTCTCCGATGCGGAGGAATACTCTCTGATATTAAGAAAGAAAAAGTTGCCTTTTCCCCCTTGACCGTAGCTATCTAAAAATGCATCGCAGCAGAAACAGAAATAAAAAATGTTCGAGCAGTTGATAGTTATTCGTGGAAATTTTCAAAAAAACTATTGGATTAATCAAAAGCAGGAAAAGAACTATTGTTATTCATAGCTAAACGTCGCATCAACAAACACTACAAAAAAATGAGCATTCTGTGACAGTCAACATTTCACTTTTCGATTTCACCGACTATTACGTTTTTAATGTGAAAAGAACAATCAACATACTTGTTTAATGGTAGTTTGTCCAAATGTTGCGGTTAAAGTTGGAGATGAGATTACGACAGACAATGATGATGATTTGACAGTATTTTTTAAAAAATGACAACATGCATCAAGATAAAGGACAAGCTGCTCTTCACTAAATTGTTGAGTAACTAAATTTTTGTTATTTTCCATTGACTGCTGTTGATCATTGAATAGTTGTAAAACATCCATGATCATACTATAGAAAGCTGTCATTGTTTTCATATCAATTTCAATCGATGTAGTTTTATTATTAAGAAATAGGATATCGATTAATGTTTGCCATATTTTTAATGATATTTGTTTTGGACGTATTTGTTCAATTAGTAATTGTATACTCGATGTTGTCGAATATTCAATAGACATTACTGAGAAACGTGGCCTTAGTAATTCGTAAGCTGAAAAATTTGATAAATTTGTTTTTAGAAGACGAAAACGTCCAAGAGATTGTTGTTCTGTATGAGCAACAATAGTTGCCGCTGTTGATGGCCGTTGTTGGATTTGTGATGTTTTTAACGATCGTAAACGATTAATTTCACTTAATAAACGGCAACTTGTTTTTTCACTTTCTTTATAACGTTCTTCAACTTGATAAAATCGTTTTTGTAATTCATTGTATTCTTTTTCATTGAAAACAAGTTTTGATTTTAAACTATCTAATTCGATTTGTAGTTTCTTTTGGGTTTCATTTGTTTGTTGATGTTGTGCATATTGTAAATCACATTTTTCTTTATTTAATCTTGCGGTTTTTTGCTCTAATTGATTGATGTTCTGTTTCAAGATTTTAATTTCACCTTCTTTATTATCAAGTTTTTTCTGTATATCCCGTACGTGATTTTGTTGTTGTGGTGGTGGCGGTTTGTTTATATTTGCAATTTTTGATGGTCCTAGTAGGTTGTGTGATGTTGATACGGTGTTTGTCGTTGATATCGGAGATGGAGGTGGAGGCATTGTAGTTGTTGTTGAAGCGGATGATGATCGCTGATTCTGACTCTGACATATTTCATCACATGCTTGAGATGCCAATAACAGTTCATCATCAGACATCTCATAAATGGTTGTTGGGTTCTGTAAGATTTCTGTTGTTTCATTTTCACTTGTACTTGTTCGACGTCGTTTAATTTGTTGATACATCTAAAAAATAGAAATCTTCACACATATAATCTATTCTCGATATTTAAATACCAGCTTGAAACAATTGAGAATCTGAAACATAATTACAAAAAAGATAGACGTTATTTTGTGTTTTTTGCATATCTCAAACGTAGAGCGATAGTTTCCCCCCTGTACGTTAGATGGATGGAAACAGTCGTAAACTATCCATTGTCAGGAATAGAAGAATATTAAAATGTACAAGAAGTTAAGAGAACATTTCAAGATTCTTTACTCTCTTACTTCAGTAGAAAAGGTAAGAGAGTAAAGAATTTTGAAATGCTCTCCAAGAAAAGAGTACTTCTGCCGATGCATTCACAATAGCATTTAAGCGACTGGCAAAATGACTATCCTGTGGGTCGCTTTAGTGGATGGCCTACCGGTCGTATAAACGACTGAACTTGAACTTGATTTTATTTTACAGACAAAGCTGACTTTACAGAAAAAGAGCTGCTGTAGGAAAGCAGATAAAGTAAAAAAAACTTATACACATTGCCACCTAGAGTAACAACACCGCAAGAGCGAGAATACACGCTTATATCTATAGATACACTCTTTTTACAGAGTAGAGTACAGAAATAAAAACAAACCCACAGAAAACGCCTTAAATTTGCAAATGATTTTTGAGCGTCGCTTTGAACTGACCTAGAGTACGTACCGCTACAACCGTTTCTGTTAAGGCGTTCCAATCGTCGGCAGTCTGATAGAAAAAATCTGAAACCCAGGCGCTTTACCAGTCATTTAAACGACTGGAATTGGTGTCTAAACTGACCAGTAACTCCCTTATTGATCTGCTAAAACCAGACGCGTTTAATAAGTCGAAAAAACGGCTGGCTTTTAGCCGCTTTAGTGCCTGTCGCGATTTGCAGTGCTTGGATCAGCTGTGTTCCTATCTCCTATTGGTCGGAATTAGTAAACCAATTGCAATTTCGAATGAATTCATAGTATGAAAGAGAAGAGGACGCTTCATTACAGTCGACATTCTGTACTTCAATTTAGTCGAATAAAACATGAGCGCAAAGCGTCTTCTTTGAGCTTGTAATCCATCTCTATTGTTTCAACCCTGTATGTCAACGTTTCTTTTGGATTTTTGAAGACAACAGTGTAAGACGTCAAGGTTCAAAAATAAATGAACAATTATACTGGAATGTTAGTTGGGTACTTCCATATAGGTCCCAGTATTACATGAGCTAAAAGCCGGGAAGGTTTGACTATATGCAATCGATAGTCTTACTAAAGGGATGTAAAGACCCCTGTCGCCCCATGGTAAAATTATTCCGAACACGGTTTTTCCCCGGCCGTAAGTTCTGAACTGAAGCGTTTTTAGGGGAGCCAGAACACTGAAATCTGACCTTTTCTAATACTATCGAGCGTTCTCATACTGCTAGTTGGAAAGAACATACAAAGTTGGATATTTCTATCCGCAAATGAGATTTTTTCCTCTGACATTCGGAAAGAATTTTTGGCTAGAGGACATTATCTGCATATCAGCAGATATCAGACATTAGCAGATATCACTCGTTTTATAGCGTGTTGGACGAGTTCAAAGTCTAACAAAACATAACTTTATTTATATTCAAATGAAAGCGGCTTCCAAGTTTGTTCGTATGACGAATGAAGTCTCTAACACTTTTTACTTCTTCATGGTAAGCGTAGCCGTGAGACTTACTTTGGCTCTTTCTGGTCTCCTTCCTTGAAAACTACACATCCGTTCTTCGAGACCTTGTGATCCTACACACTACTCAACTAGTGCTACAAAAGGCGCAAGATATTGACTTTGGACAGGTGATTTTTCTTGTGACGGTTTTCTAGAGATCGCGTCGAAATTCTACCACCTGGCTAGGGTCAGCAACGGGAAAAAACACTCACTTACCCATAAAATGACATGCTGAACCCGAATTTCAGGTTAGTTTGGATTCAATATTTATGAGCAACTAAGGATTTTGAGGCGATTTCTAGAAAACAGCCTCAAGAAAAACCACCTATCCAAAGTCAATACTTTGCGCCTTTTGTAGCACTAGTCGAGTAGTGTGTGGGATCACAAGATCTCGAAGAACGGATGTGTAGTTTTCAAGGGAGGAGGCCAGAAAAAGCCAAAGTAGATCTCATGGCTACGCTTACCATGAAGAAGTAAAAAGTGCTAGAGACTTCATTGTTGCGTCATACAAACAAACTTGGAAGCCCGTCTATGGGCAAAGTTTCCTAGAAAACAGAGTACGAGTTAGGAAGGTTCTAAATCAAAGCTCTACTCAGAGTCAGAACAAGTACTCCACTATAGGTAACTTTTAATGCTGACCATTTTATAGCGATTCTAAATTCGCATTGAAAATCTGTTTCTTACGAATTTATTACCAAATCACCCTCACACTTGTAACCTCAAAATCCATCGCAAAACAGCAGCTTTCTTAGCTCTATCGGACAGGCAACTCAGAAATTCTTTAAAAAGTTTATAGTTCACGTCACCTATACCCAATTTTTGGTAAAATCGTGTTTACGCGTACTGTTCTGCAGAACCGACATGACTTTTTCTGAAAAAAACATGAGTTCCTATATAACTCGATGTGACAAAACTAGCACAATGAGAACTTGGCAGCTTTTGATCGTGTGAAAAGTGGGAGGACCTGTGTGGAAAGACACAAAATTAAACAACATATTTTTCTTTTTCAATTAATGATTGTAACGCTGATATACACACGTTGGGTTATCTTTTGAAAATCTTAGTTTAAAACTTACGTAGTTTCGAACTGTTCGACATTCAATTTTGACTAAACTTTCCAAGTTAATGCACGCATCTTCGGGCGAAAGAAAAATTATTCAGTGTAGTTCAATTTCTAATGAAAAAACAAATCAAATTATAAATCAAACTTCTGATCATCTTCGATTAATGTTCTGAAATTCTGAAATAAATTGGTTCTTATTAGTGCTTATTCTTCAAAGTGAGAAGAGCGTTTATCCCAAACTACTGATTATAAAGAGAATACTCCTTCTTTTTCTAAAAGAGATAAACTTAACCGTTTTTCTTTTTGAAAAGAATATTTTTTTTTCGCTGCACGGTAAAAAAAAGCGCCTACTAGAAAATGTCCACGAAAAGTATACTAAAAAAAGCGTCGACAAAAATGAGTCCACAAAACTTCGCCCAGCATAGTATTTAAGTGCATACTGCATAGATGACTCGTTTCACTGCACTAGCTTAACTCAGAAACGACTGATTTCCTGCGATAGTGGATCGGTCCAGCAGATCAGGCGTGCTTCCAAAGTATATGACATTCAAAACTGAGTAAAATATTATTTGAAAATCTTTTCAAATTTTGTTTTTCCATCTAACAAAAAAACATACGAAAAAATTCATCCAGAAAAAAAAACGTGTAGCAAAAAACCGCCCACTAAAAACCGTCAACTTTTGGACGCTTTTTTTTACCGTGTGGTAAATAACGTGTATTTCCCTGAAAATCGCGGTTGTATCTTGATACGTTATTGACATTCCTATTATCTTTTGAGAGCAAAACACGTGGAGCACCGGCATCTTTTCTTTTCAATTCGTTGATGTCATTTATAAAAAGATCTTTAGTGAAGAAAATTCTTACGAATTCATGTTTTTTTGTTATACTTAATATTTGGGAATAAAAAGATGTTGAAGTTTCGATTATCGAAAGATAATACCAATTAAAATGTATTCTCAGTTTTCCCTATGGCCTAATTTCAAGTCTTGTTTTCTTTGTGTATTTATAAGTTTTTTAAATGACAAGATGACAACTACGGTTAATTGTTAGTTTAATTAAAGTATGACTGCTCCAGAAGAAGTAAGTAACTGTGTAAAGACTGATTTGGACAATAATTTACATTCGATCGAAAAAGTTTGCTTAGCATGATCGCTGGTCAGAATCTATTATTTTATTTGCAGCGTAAAGTCTGGGCAAATTCGATCGAATTTTTCTTAATGCTAGTTGCATTGGTGAGTTTCAACGTAAAAAATCTTCGTACAATCTATATTATTATCCTTGTTTCTAGGGGTAATAGTAAAACATGAAGACACCCACTGACACCCACAGACAGCTACACAGACATGGATGTCTGTGTAGCTGTCTGTGGCTGTCTGTGGTTGTATGTGTGCTGTCTGTGGCTGTTTGTGGCTGTCTGTGGGTGTCTGTGGGTGTCTGTGGGTGTCTTCATGTTTTACTATTATCCTTGTTTCTAGCTGTTGGCCTAGGAAATATCTGGGGTTTTCTGTATCTTTGTTTTAAAAACGGTGAAAGTAAGTACATCAGTAGAGGAAACAATCAAGTTTGACATCACACGGTTGTTATAGGTGCTTTTCTGGTCCTCTACACATTCATGATGATATTTATTGGTGCTCCTGTTTTCTGTCTTGAGTTAACATTAGGCCAATTCACTAGTGTTGCACCTTTAGCTGTTTGGAGAGTCAATCCATTGTTAAAAGATGAGCATGCAGAAGAACTCATTTTCTGTTCCAAATATAGATGAATTCTATTCATCTTTCTACAGGAATCGGGTTTGCTTCACTTGCCACCAATACGATGTTGGGTTTAAACTACAATGTTCTCATAGCCTATTGTTTTTATTATTTTATTTCATGAATGGTAAAAAGGTAAAAAAGATGGTAAAATCTTTATTTGAATTCTAGATATGACAAGTTCTCCGAGTGAAGAATATTTTTAGTAAGCACTTCTAACTTATACAGTGAGTGTTTGTTTTTATTTGATTCTTCTTTCTATCTCGATTTTAGCCGACGTGTTCTACAAATATCCGGTGGCATCGAATTTTCTGAAGGAATTATCTGTCATTGAGCTATAGCGCTTCCCATTGCAGCACTTTTTAAAGAAAAGTGTCATTTTTTTCGATTTATTTTTGTTTTCATGGAAAAATCAATTTAAATCGATTTTTTTGATCTTAAAAATTGATTTATTATTTTTTTTAATGCAGAAATTCATTTAAATCAATTTTTTTTGTTGAAAAAAACTTATTTAAAACAAATTTTTAAGAATTCTTTTAGAAAGTCTGTTTAAATTCATTTTTAAAAAATTCAGTTAAATTTATTCTACATAACGTTTCGTGCCAAAAATCTATTTAAATTCGTTTCTTTCTCAATGAATCTGATTTTGGTTTTTGTAAAAGGTTAATTTGAATTTATTTTTTCTCTAAATAAAAGATAAAATGCACTTAAATACATTTTCTCAAAAACTAAAACCAGATTTATTGAGACAGAAATAAATTTAAATAGATTTTTCACACAAAAAAGTTACGCAGAATGATTTTAAATCGATCTTTTTTAAAATTAATTTAAACAGATTTTTCTAAAAGAATTTTAAAAAAGTAGATTTAAATAGGTTTTTTCAAAAAAAAATTGATTTAAATTGATTTTTCCATGAAAAAATAATAAATCAAAAAAAATGGCACATTTCTTCAAAAAGTGCCGCAATGGGTTGCAGCAGCATGGTTTATTTGTTTTATTAGTCTTTAAAAAGGCGTCCAATCACTTGGAAAGGTTAATGACGACTCTGTTGAAATAGAATATATTTTCAACGTCTATTATTTAGATTGCCTATTTTACGGCATTATTTCCATACGTAATGTTAACAGTGTTCATTATACGCGGTGCTATGCTACTTTCTAAAAAAAAATAGGTTTAGAACCCTAAAAGGGTATAGAGAAGTGCAACCAATACGAAACCGTTTTAAGTTTCGTATGAATCCCTTTTAGGTTTCGTAATAAACCTATTTTTTTTAGAGAGTATCTGGTGCAAACGAGGGCACCAAGTTTTATTTGGACACGTTGAAGTTGAGTGTATTAAAAAATCCAAATGTAAGTTTTACGATAACAGCGCGTTTTTACCTTTCATTGATAGAAGATTTTGAACTTCAAGGTTTGAAAAGATGCTTGTACATATGTATTTTACGCACTTAACTGTTGCTCCGATGGTCTGATCGCAATGGCTAGTTTCAATAACTTTAATAATAATGTTTATCGATGACCACAATCAGCTATCTTCAGCAGAATTATATCACTAATTCTTATGTGTTTAGAGATACAATAGTCATTTGTTTGATAACTTGGTTCACTAACTTATTCGATGGTTTTGCAATATTCACTGTGCTAGGTGCAATAGCTTCTCCTACTCTCTAAAAACAATCCGTAGCCTACAAATATCGGTTTTGACATTTTCTCCTAAAAGAAACTGATATCCGTAGCGTACAGTCCTGCTTAATCGTTTCGCAGAATACGCTGAAACATTTTCTGCCTCGTGAAGAAACGGATTTAGGTTTTGTACTAAAGAAAGAAAGAAGTACATTTAGGAGTGGATAATTTCAGCAATGATATTGTTATTATTGTGTCATAGTTTGGTAGGACATTGAATTAGTTTTTGATTCTAAACTCTTCCTTTTTTTACAGGAGAGGAAAAAGAATAAATTGTATAGTGTGTGTTTCTCAAATAGTTCTATATGTCATTCATTATTTTTGCAAACTAAAGAAGGAAGAAGATTCTTCCGAAAAGTATTTGAAATATAAGTTCTGTTAATAAATTTAAAAGGAAGAGTTTAGAATCAAAAACTAATATTGCTATTATGTTAGGTGAACAACGGTGTCCAGGAAAATTTTGGAAAATCTGTTGGAAATGAGTAGATAAGACAGACTATTTATTTGAAAATATAGTTATGGAATTTTATATATTTGTTTTTATAGATATCTCCA